TTTTAATTCTTCATATATATATATATATATATATATATTATTTTAATATATTATATTATACACCTAAATCTTTTAAGTGAAACTTTGAAAGGTGTACAAATAACATTTCCAAAGCTTGTATTCATCCACATCCAGTTAAACGCATTCACTTTCGTTCATGTTATTCTCGATCTCTTGCGTTATACAGTATGAATTATGAACCTTATACAAATAATGATATTTTTTATGTCTTATTTTTTTTAATATCCAAAGAGAATAATATGATAGAATCTAAATCTTTTCCTCCCTCAACTCACAATTCTGGCTTCACTTTTTCTCTGTTCAAAATCCAAATTCAGTGAAAATTAAAAAGAGGAAATATATTATATTATATATTCTTTTAAAAATTAATTTTTTGCTTAAATAGTTATGATGCTTATGCAATATCGTATTCAAATAAAAAGATTAAATACACAGAAAAACAGCGTAATGAAAGGGAAAAAGAAAGAAAGAAGTTACTGCCTATACATATAGATTCTTTCAAATAACTGCCCATATTCAATATAATTTTGATAACTTCTTCACATGTTGGTGTACATGCCAAATTAATGTTGATATCTTCTATCGGTATAAAACAAAAGGTTTATATTGTATGAAAAAACTCTGTTTGGAGCCCATGATGTTCAAATCTCAAAAATAATTATTCTTTCAATTTTTAACTGAAGAAAAATATCTTTGCTGCACATGAAAAGGGAAATTTATTTTCTTTATTTTTTTCTTGGTTTAAAAAATGGTCTTTCTTTATATATAGTCTTTACACGGTTTTTCTATTTTTCTATCTATTTGAAATGTTGTGCATCGTTTGAGTTTTTGTAAATATTTTTGGTCTGTTCTGATTTATTTTCCTAGTCTGGGTTTGGGATGTTATGAGCAAAGAATTTGGGCTTGGGCCAAGAAAGCATTGCATTAGCTGAGCTTCCAATTAGAGAAGCAACCTCCACATGCTCTGTCTAGCTCTTATTTATGTTGGAATTGACCAAGAGAAATGAGAATATTGTTTTTGATCCATTGTCTGTGTAATTATTTCGATTTTTCTTTTCCCCTTTCTTATCTGTTGTTGAAACCTAGGGTTGGACTGCCTATCTATTTATTATTCCTTATGCATGATTATCAATGGCTAGACAAGTTGAGTAGTTTTTAGGGTTCCAACACATTTCTGATACAAATTTTCCACTAGATGGGCAATTTGAATTTAAAAAATATTTGATCTCTAATAACTTAATTTGGTAGATGCCTGACTGGTGATCATTTCATCTGTAGTCATTTCAATTTTTTAATGCCAAAATGCTATATAATAATATAAACATCTATCTTAATTTTGTGGTTGGCTCCATAATGATTTTTTATGTTTGATTTTTCTTACTGATAGTATATTTCATTAAATTAAGTACGAGTCATCCATCTCAAGTGTAAAACTTATATACTAGTTAAACAACGAAATGTTGTGTTTGTGGAGAAAATATTCAGGCAATAGTATCATCTTCTTCCTGCAGTGTGTTTTTTGACAATTTAATGTAAACTCTTGGGCAGCAGTTCAAGGTGATAGAATTGCTGTGAAGGAAGGTTTGGCCTTCAATTAGTCAGATTCCTAAGATGTGTGCCACACTTAACAAGAACAACAACTCGTGGCTGGTACGTTAAGATCATGAAAGGACTTCTTGGATGGTTCATCATAAGGCTAATTTCTTGAGCATCCAATAGCTTTGGAGACAAGACAGGAGGACAAGGAATATACTTCAACACTTTGCCTCGTGAATGAATTTTGGTTGATTCTTGAATATATTATATATTAAATATATTCAGTCCGTTGTTGTGTTACACGTAGAAATGTAAACTTTGCTGGCACGTTTGGAATATAATTTGCTTCTTTATTGTGGATAGTGGATTCTTCTTTTCAATAAAGTTTGAGAGATCCAGAAGCATCACCATTAATTCCTCAATTAGTCTAGAAACGAACACTTTCAAAGGTGGCCCAATAATAGGTGTGGGCATAGATTTAAAAACTGGACCGGTCATCAAACTGGTTAAGGTACTGTATCAGTAGGTTAAAGGTTGAATCAGTAAGTCATTAGTTGAACCGCATGACTCAATTTTTATTATTTTAAAAAAATATATATTTATGTTAAATATATTTTATACTTATAAATTTTAATAAATTTATATCTTATTTTAAATTTTAATTTTTTTTATCTTATTTAAAATTATTTTTATTTTTATTTTGTAGAAAAATACATAAAAAAATTTACATGCTAAATTATATGTTAATAAAAATTTAAAATATAAATAATATATACATATATAATATGCTTGTAATTGATATCACAAAATAATATATGTAATATCTACATAGATATTATATTATTAAATATATAATTTAAAATTAATAATATACTATAAAAGTTATTTAAGTTATATATATTACAAACAAATATATTAGAACAAGTAATTATTGTTATATTTAATAAGACTCTTTGCTCTTCTATTAAGAGATTTAATTATTATTATTATTTTTGTGGTTTATGGTTCCTTAAAAAAAATTTTAAAAAAAAAGTGTGGTTTGACCGGTTTGACCCACCGGTTCACCAGTTGAACCGGAAAATTGACCGGTTCAATCCGGTTTGAAACGGGTCGACTGCATAATCGATCTAATTTAATTTAGATCGACTGGACCACCGGTTCCTGGTCCAACCGGTCTGACCGGCCGGTTCGATCCGGTTTTTAAAACACTGGGTGTGGGTCCCTTCTCTGCTTCTTGTGCTGTGGTCCAATGACTTTTAAGTTTAGCAGCCTAGGCAATAACCATGGCATGCATCTGCATGGAAAGCTCTTTAATAGAACAACTTAAATTTAATTTGTTTAACAAATTTTTTAAATAATAAATGGGGATGTAGCTCAGATGGTAGAGCGCTCGCTTAGCATGCGAGAGGTACGGGGATCGATACCCCGCATCTCCATCTTTTGTGTCTTTTTTCATCTTAAGATAATAGTAGCTCTATACCTCTGAAGCAGTCTCTTTTGACATAGTTAACACTCCAGTACATATTTATTTGGTTATATAAAATATTTACGTACCCTTTTTGAAGATCGATAGGGTTATCCACTCTTAGTTCGTTCTTTTTTACCTTCTTAAATTTATAACATATGGCAATATCTTTTTGTTTAAAGCCTATTGCAGTTTTCCTTCCACGATATCAGAGTCTAAATGCAACAAAAAGGAAAACCACGTGTTTACTAAATAAACGAAATTATGCATAAAAACACAAGTTTGTCAAATAAATTTGATTTCCTTTTTCAATATTACCGAAATTACCCTGCATGAATCATTCTGCTTTTAATGTTTTTTATCCACTGACCAAATTAAATGAGAAATGCCGTATATGATACCGTAGAATTACTGAATTAGGAAACAAGCGAACTAATTAATCCTACTCAACTGCAACTTAGTAGTTAGATAGTCACACGTGATCATGAGTAGTTCATACGGGAACTGTAATCTGTATTCAGCATCATATTCCATACTCTAATTCTTCCTTTATTTATTTATTTTTAATTTCATGGGTACAACTTTTTTCTGCTATTAGATTATGTTTTGTACCCTGTGCATAGACTGTGAAGTTGTTATAAACTTGATCACGCTCCCTGTTCACACCTGCTTGTTTCTTCGCGGAGGTGAGGAAAGAAGGAATTTACCATTGGACAATCGTAATTCAGATCAGCAGGCTTCGCAACTTTATGCCTTTATATATCAACAAATAGCGAGGAGATTATTAGATACATAAATATGTAATCAAAAGGACCAAAGAGGGAGGAATTAATAGGATGGTAGTGCTTACCACTCCTGATCAATCAGCATTTCATCAGTCAATCCAAACCGTCTCAGCTCTTCTTCATCATGATGCATCAGCAAGCTATACCTGTTAATTTGCATTTAGTAATATCCTAAGCTATATATATTAATACATTAATATCATAAGTAAAGAAAACGAACCTTCCACCATAACCCTTTTCCATGACAAGCATATTTCCGTTGCCCATGTTGTGGAGACCCTCGAACTGTTGGACCGTCCACTTGTACCACCTCATCAGAAAAACTCTAAGTGTTAGACCGTGCGACACGATCACCAGGTTCATCTCTGTTTTCTTATCCCCAGGTGGCTGATACCGTCCAATATTAATATCTGTTCTCAGCGTTTCTCTGAATCCTTGTACCATACACCAAACTCTCCATCACTACTCTTCCTTAACTTCCTAATTTTGACTCCCAAAACCATATATATATACAGAAGAAGTTGACATGTTTTATCTTCATTTTTACCTTTTACAAGTATTTACAAAAATAAATTATATTTAATGTTGGAAATCCCAAATTAACCTATGAAATAACTAAATGAGTAAAATAAAATATATAAGTAATATCTACAACACATACCCCTCATACTAATGACTAGACATGCTTGGAGTTTAAAGTATTAAACATCAGCAAATTAGGTGATAATTCTAACAATAATAGTTAAAATAGACTCCATTACTATATTAAGAAATTATATTTAAATTTAACTTAATCTTACACTATTGTATTATTGTTATGAGTTAATCACTTATACAGTGAGAGATATATAATTAGTTGCTAGTATAAAAAAAAATTTACACTGAGGTGATTATTTGATATTGTTGTTACCTGTGATTCTATCATATACATCAGCAGCCGATTCTCCATCTGGAAATCGGTAAAAGAAACGACCATAAAGCTGACGTAATGCCTTTTCCACTCGCATCTTTTCTCTGTTTTGAAAGTTTCCTGTCCGAAAAGAAATAGCGAAGTGAATTGGAGAAACACATTGAAGAAAAGAAGGGAAAGAATGTAGCGAATACCGAAATCTTGTTCCCGAATACGAGGCTCCTCTCTGAATCCAGCGATTCTGGAGCGTTGGAAGGGACGAGCGAGGTTCTGCAAGGTCTGAAGGGTCCTTCTATAGGGCGATACGTAGAAGTAAACCTGCCAGTGTTGGTGAGCATCTTTCTGAATCATTTTCTTGATTCTGTGGCCACATTCTTGTGATTGGAGCTTGCCCTTTTCAGTGAGGGGTATCTTGGGATCAGGTATTCTGGTGTACACGCTCTCATCCACGTTTCCTTCACTCTCTCCGTGCCTAACCAGGATTATCCTTCGAGGCCTGGGTGGGACAGCTTCAGTTTCAGGATGCAACTTCTCTTCAAATCTCGCTTGCCCGTTGCTACTTTTTAGGCTGTGGCAGCATTGGATTAGTGAGGACGTGTTTGGATTGGTTTTAAGCCCTTTTTGTTGAGATAGTGGAAGAGATGAAAGAGTGGGGGTTCCCGAGTATGGGAAAGGTACCACAGCCATGCCTATGATTCGCTCAGTGGTAAATGGTAATGGTAAATTCATTACAACCTGAACCACACAAACAGAATATGCATGATGCTTAATGTTTGTGTTCTTCCAATTTCACCTACCAACAAGTGTGATTACTGTTTGTTAAACAATGAATGAGCGTTTGCGGTGGAGAGGAGTAGCAGGTCCTGATCATAGAATGACAAATGGCACCATACTTGTGGCTGCTTCTTGGTTCTTGCTATGCTCTTGGAGGAGAATCTTACCTTCTGATGTGTATCTTTTGGGCCAAGGCTATCCTCGGTCCAAAAAACAAAAGGTTAGCCCACGTTTACACCCGAATAGTCTCCGTGACCCACTGTTGTTCACGTTTTGGGATCTAACCACTTTGTGTTTGGGCCCATGTTTAGTGGTGAGATTTGACCTCTGCCTATTGGACCGCTTTCAGCCCTCCATTAAACAAAGTGTGTGTGTGTGGCTGAGATTGCAAGCATATAGAGAGGAGGCATGTACAAGAACATAAATTACAACGTTATTTTTGTTTTGTCTTGTCTTCTGTTTGGCGATTAATGCACCGTATCGTATGACCCATTTTAAAAGGTCGAATAACCAAATATCTTACCCTCGGCCCTACCTGTTAGTTATTCTTAACTAAATCCGTGTTTGGTTCAGCGTCATAAAGCTAAAATCGGAATCTTTAACGTGAAAATATATCAAAAGCTATGTTATCTATGCATTTGCTTGTCAGAATAGCGTGATTTTTATTTTCAAAATTCATAAATATTTTTAAAATTTAAATAATAAATATATGAAATTGTTCCGGCCAAAAGATGGACTAGGGTTTCTTCCTAGGTTAAGCCATAGAGTCAGAGCATTCAAAAGTGTAATCTGTCGTCTCAATTGTAGAGTTTTGGGTCTTATAGTTTCTTGTTCATGGGCCTTACAGGCCCCGGGAATGCAGGAATTTCCTTAACCGTTATGATCTGGAAGATACTTGGTGAATGAGGGTGGGGCCTTGCCCTTGCTATCGGGTAGCTCCCACATGGGGAAATCAGATCGGTCCCTGATCGACTAGACCCATACTGGGGGTCCAGTCGGGTATGGGCCGAGTGACCCCTCTTAAGTGGGTGGAATCGGAACACAACCGACTAGGCGTACGTAGCGTAGCCAAATCGGATAACGACCGAGTGACTCTTTAGAGAGAGGGGGGAGGATCGGTAAAGGCCATAATCGGCCTAGCGTATGTAGGAAATACAGGTCGGGCCCCGACCTGGACGGTCCACTTGCCTTCCAGCCCTGAGCCGACAAGGCGAGAGGGCTTAAAACGTAGCTCTTATGGATCCTATCAGAAATGGACTGAGAGGTTAATCGGATTCCGACCTGGACGGTCCACTTGCCTTCCAGCCCTGAGCCGACAAGGCGAGAGGGCTTAAGACGTAGCTCTTATGGATCCTATCGAAAATGGACCGAGAGGTTAATCGGATTCCGACCTGGACGGTCCAGAAATAAATCTAATAATATATTAATATTCAATAACAAGTGTTTTATTTCTTTTGTCACAGATTTTTTTTTTATAAATCAAATACAAAAATAAAGTATATTTGTATTTATAATTCCACCATTTTTTATCAAATAAGAAAGAAATACTGATAACATTAGCTGTTGGAATTGGAATGTAACTTGGTAAGAGAAAAGAATGAATATTATAGGAAACTTGGTAACGGAAAAGAATGAATAATTCTAAATTAAATTTCAGTAAATAAATTATTAGTATTTAAAAATAATTTACGTGACAATAACTAAAATTATACGTAACCAAATTTATAATAAATTACAAATATAAATAAATAGTATGTTTAAATATATAAACCATACTTAAAATTTGTATAAACGAATTTTTAAAGATATAAATAAAAAATTTTACTGACAATAATATATAAATTATATTTTAAATTTATAATAATTTATATTATAACATAATATTATTTTTGTTTATTGATAATTTATTTTAAAATTCATAAATAGTAATAAATAATAAATAAATTACATAAAAAAAAGTTAAAAAAATCTCTAAAAATGATTTTGTTAAAGAAAATTTTCTAAATCCACTCTCGTGTAAAATAAAGATTTATTCTTAATATATATATAGAGATATTAATTTCAGTAAATAAATTATTAGTATTTAATAATAATTTATGTCACTCTAAAAATTATTTATCATAAAATTAAAATATAATTTATATGACCAAAATATTTATTTATTATAGATTTTTATTATAATATATTTTTATATGTAGCATGTATATATTAATTATAATTTTTCTGTATAAAAAAATTGTCTCATAACATACATATGTTAAAATACTAATTTAACTATATTTTCATATTAATTTGACCAATTGAATTAAATTAAAAGTCTGATATAATTTATTTTTATCCATTTTATTTAATTGCGTTGTTAGTGTTATTGTCAAATTACTATTTCGTACATAATTAACACTTTGTTTTGTTTACAGCCTTATGATTTGTATTGACTTTATTGATGTTGGTGAGTGCATGTCCAATTGCTCATGTTTCGTCGGAGGGTGGAAATATCTGCTATGTAATACTTTCTTCACCATTGTCGTGTTAAAAGAGAGAGTAACTTTTAATGTTATTAACTTTTAATTATATCGTATATTTTTTTAGTAAAAATAATAATAATTGTACTTATTGAAAAAGTACTTGTACAATGTCTTCGGTCCCCATCCTTAATCTTTGATTCTCGGCCTTAAAAACAAGTGATGATACTTGTAAAAAAGATTCATAAGTTAGAGGGTGTTTGGAGTATATTATCTTCTCAACAATGAACATATTTTTTTAAGATGTATATATAGTATATGTTTCTATAGGAGAAAAAATGTTACTGTTAGTCGCCAGAATATTTAAGTATATTCAAGACTCTATGGTTGAACATTACAATCTGTCACTATTAGGGGAATGTGTTTTGTAGGCTAAGGATTGCTTGACCTCAAGAATTACATTGTTTGATTAGGTAAATAGTCGGAATCCTAAGTAGAAGGTGTTTGGAGTATATTAGCTTTTCAATAATGAACATATCTTCTAAAGATATATATATATATACATATATATATATATATAGGTGTCTATAGGAGAAAAAATGTTATTGTTAGTCGACAGAACATTTAAGTACACTCAAGACTCTCTGGTTGAACCTTACAATCTATTACTATTGGGGGAATGTGTTTTGCAAGCTGAGGATTGCTCGACCTCAAGAATAACAATGTTTGATCAGGTAAATAGTCTGAATCCTCGTTATGTAGTCATTGTTGTCTTCTTTTAGTATTAGGCTGATAACAGGCAAGTCCTTGGTACTGGAGTCATGGAATACATCATGGAAGAACTATACACGTTGCCCAAGGCTTAATCACTTGGTGACTTAAGAAATGGGGCCTTAGTCTTCTTGTCACCTTTATCAAAGTCAAAGGAATAATCTCTACATTATGATACCTATGCTTGACATACTTGATTAATATAGTAGAGAGACACTTGTGCCCCTTCTTTCTCTTGAACAATGATAGTGTTGATAGATTCATCTGACCTGGAAAGATATAAAAGGATGGGAAACTCTTGTTTGGGTTTTGCTGAGATTGGAGGGGTTGACAAGGTAATTTTCAACCATTGAAAGGTGATTTCACATTCTCGTGTTCATTCAAAGGCTTTCTTCTTTCTCAACAAAGTGAACACGGGCTTCACCCTATTGGCCAAACAAGGCAAGAAACGTGAGAGAGAAGCTAGCTGCTCGGTGAGGCATTCAACTTCCTTTAGGTTGATTAGGCTCTTCATATCAATAATCCCTAGACATTTGTTAGGATTAGTTTTGATGTCCATTGCAGTCAACATGAAGCCTTAGAACTTTCCTCCACCTATGTTGAAAACATTTTTTTGGGGGTTTAAATGCATGTATTTTTTTTTACCTCAAAAAACACTTTATCGAGGCTAGTCATGTGCTCGACCACACTTTTGAATTTAACCATCATGTCATCCACATGTACCTCCAAAAATTTTGCAATTTGTCTTTGGAAGACCTTATCCATCAACTGCTGATAGGTAGCATCTACATTCTTAAGTCTAAAAGACATCACTTGATAACAAAACTTAACAATTGTTTCTTTTTAATCTAAATTAGTCTTAATTACTTAATTACACATATAAGAGTTCAATTGAAAAAAAAATACATAAAAATATATTGAAATTCTAAAAGAATAAAAAATTAGAAGAAAATAAAAACTAAAAAGCCAAAAGATTCTAATAAGTTTTTTTTTTTGTAAATCAAGGTATTTTCTAAGTGAAAGATAAAGACTAATTTTTTTGAAATATTAAAATTTACTTAAAGAGTTGACATGACATCTTGTAATAATAATAATTATTTGGCTTAAATATGTTTAAACTATCTTGAATTAGCTCAATTTTCAGATTATTACTTTAAAAAAAAAATTTGTTAAAATTACTTGACAAATTTTTTTTCTTTTCAATTTAGTACCTGACGTTAGTTTTCTATGTTAAATGATGACGTGGCAAACGGACTGCCACGTCATCACCCAACAGTGTCTGCCACGTCATCCAAGGGACTGCCACGTGGACATGGTGATGACGTGGCAAACACTGTTGGGTGATGACGTGACAGTCCGTCTGAAAACTGATAATAAATTAGTCAGGTATTTAGAACAAAAAATAATAAATTAATAGTTAGTAATCTGAAAACTGACCTAATTGAAGGTAGTAATCTGAAAAACCAACCTAATTGGAAGTAGTAATCAAAAAACCAACCTAATTGAAGGTAGTAATCTGAAAATTATCACTGAAGGACAACCTATTTTGAGACACCATATTTCGATTGCATAAATTACACTGAGTGAAAGGAGCGTATGTGAATATTCATACAATCCATCGACTTCAAACTTTTTTTTTTATTACATATGATGGAAACGTAAAAAAAAACAAGATTTGAAGTGAAAGTAGCTAGAATTCTGCCTGGAGGAGACTTGACTTAGCAAATAAATTTTCAGTACTTTCATATAAGTGAAAGATACAAAATGAATATATATATATATATATATATATATATATATAAGTTAAGTGAATATTTGTGGCATTAACTTTCTTATCTGACAAGTAAAACTTATAAGATTTGAAATCAATTTTTATTTAAAAACTTATTATTAGTAAATATA